CCCACTTCCATCGGAGTTCTCTTTCCCACACACGGTCTTGTATGTGATAAGCCTCGAGGCAGTACTGAGTGGAATTGTCACTCAGAGACGATCTTGGTTTCTTTTTCATGGTGGTTTATGTACTAATATTTCCTGCTTTTCGATTTGCAAAGGGCTTTGTCGCTTCAATGGGCCGCCCCCCTCTGCCCGGATGGCAGCGCCCCCAATTGGGGGAGGAGCCGGCATCCCCGAGTCCTCCACAGGACCAGAACGCAACTGCCAGGAGCACTTACTTCCCTCTCCCTCCCCAGGAGCTGTTTGCCTGCAGAGACTTCTGCCTGTGTGGGAACGCGGAGAGAAGGGCTGGGATCCGGGAAATAGTACCCGATGTGGGTAAATCACACCGTAACAGACTCTTAGCTTACATCTGCATGGAAGCAGGTTTTCTCGAGAACTGACTCTGGATCTCAACTATCTTTTACAATGCTGTTTCTAAGTCTATCCATGAATTCAAACATTAATCAAATTGATTTGTGTGCTGGGCATCGTGCCAAGCTCTGGGCACACACTGGAGAATAAGACAGAAATGGTGCCTGTCCTCTGAGGGTTTACCAACAAGGGGACCGAGATGAGACAAATATTGTGAATAATCAATGATATAAAAGGAAAAATTCAGAGGGGTGAGTAACAGGTGGATCTGATTTAATGTGGGGACAGGTCAGTCTGAGCAGAGACTGGGGGAGGATGGGCCTGGCCCAAGGGCAGAGGGAAGGCAGGAAGGAGGGCAGTTTGAAGAATTGAACAAAGCCAGGTTTGATGAACACTGCAAAAACACAGACACCTCCATTAGCTCTATCAATCTTTTTCACTAGTTCGGCGAACGAATGTGGGAGGTCTAGTGCTAAATTTGAAGACAAATTGGGTTGGTAGCATTTGGAGTTAAATTAGAAGCTCTTACAAATTGAATTCAGGAAAAAGCAGCTTGGGTTGTGAAAAGCTCGCAGAGGCCAATTTTAAATGGAATTCTTGAGGACGGGATGTGGACTCACTGTGTCACCCTTGTACTGCAACAATAGCAGGACCTGTACAGAGAGAAGTTACCAGGAAGCCCATCGAAAGACCGAGGATTTCCGTAACTAACGGACCATTTATTAACTTGGAAGTTGGCTGATGCTGCAAAGGAAAACGAATCTGTGACTGTGGCTGCTGATCTCCAAGGTTAATTCCACAGTCAATTCCTTCCCTCCCCATTCACCAGCTGACCTTTCACTGGGAGGTGGAGTCGGGCTGGCCTAAGTGACTTACCAGGAGAATGCAGTGGAAATGTTTGGGACTTCCAAGGCCAAGTCCTAAGGAGCCTCGCAGCTCCCCCTGGGCTCTTGGAACGCCCACTCTGAGGCAGTTTTACAGGCCCAGAGACCCCATGCCTGGGGAGGACGGTGCTGAACAGTGCCCAGCCGTTGCGCCATCCTGGCCCAGGCTGAATGAAGGAGCCATCTTGCATGTTCTGGCCCTGGAAGATGCCAAACAGAAAAAGGCTTCGGCCCCAGCTACGTGGCTCCTCAAGCCAATCCAGCCATGTCAGCAAAGGCCCCAGACGGGGAAGGGCAGGCATGAGCCGACTCTGGAAGCCCTGGATGTTTTCCATGCCTTTGAATTTGCAAAGCAGCAGTAGAAGCCTGTAAATATTGCTTTAGCTGCACATGCTGAGACCAGGACAGCGTGTTAGCAGGGCCCGGGACAAGGTGGACATGGAAACCATTGAAAAGTTGTGCATTTTATCATTACTCTTTCCTGTTCCCCCACAGCACTGTGTTCACACCTCCAATTATAAATCTCACCATGCTGCATATTACCTAAGAACTTAAGGCCTTTGAGCCACTCTTCCCTGGCTCAGGCCCGCTTCCACATCTGGAAGTGTCCTGCCGCTTCTAGTAAAGCTATTCTTTTCTGCTGTAAAAAAAACAACAACAAACTTGGGTTTTATAATCAAGACAGTCTTTTTTCGAAGCACAACTTTATAACACTTAGGCTAGCTGACTGACCATGAGCAAGGTGCTCTGCCTCTCTAAGCCTCATTCTGTTATGTGGGAATGACATGAAAGGTACCAATGTTGTGAAGTATTTAAAATTAAATTCAATAACGCCTGTTAAGTACTTAGTGCTTGTCACATGTTCACATTGTGGTCAGTCAATCCAATGGTAATGATGACCCCCAGAGGACAAGTGCCTGGTCTTACTCATCTTTAAATTCATCAGTACATTTCAGTGCCTGGAGCATAGTAGGTGATAAAAGCTGCTGAGTGAATGACAAAGTGGAACCCTAGGTGATAAACTTTAAAACTGACCTTTGTAATACCAAGGGCCACTCTGCCTGTCAATTATTTGGAACTACACATTTTAAGACAACGGAATGTGTCTTTTCCACCATGATGTCCTGTAAGAGAAGGGTGTCAGTGAAAAAAAGAGTTAATTTAATTGCTTTCAGCATTTAAGACCTCCAGGGGCTGGATAGGACCCTAACGACCATCCAGTATAATCAGTGTCAAGATGCAAGTGTAAAGTGAATGGTTTGCCCAGGGCCATCCACTCACCAAGAGTACTAGGGCCCAGCCCAGACTCTTTACCCCCTTACTATGAGGTCCTTCTCTTCTTTGCATTTCAGAGCCATCCAGTGAGGTCGGGACTGATCACTAATCTCGATTAGGCAACTCAAGAGAGTCAATGAAAGAACCCATTGGGAATGCAAGACCCAATTAGAGGCCATGAAGATTTTGTGTGGACACTTACGTTATGCATCTGTCCCATTTGTCATCATGACTCTTGCATTGGAATGGTGACTCAGTGTTAAAAAGCCCCTTTCATTAGTGGAAATAGGTCTAATGGGATGCAATTTAGTTTTTCTGTAGTTAAGATTAGGGTTTTATCTCAGTTCACAGGCTTTTCTTCCATTTTCCCGGTCTAAGGCATAACTGTCCCGTTTCTAACTTACTTTACCGAGCTGGGAGAGAGCTAATAGATTCTTCTTTGGTTTGGTGAACCTGAGTTCACAATGTGTCAATTAATGAGTGATGAAATATAGATACCGATTAAGCAAACCTAGGTTTCTTCAATTACTTTTTTTCTTGCTTTTGAAATAATAAAGGCTGCTGTTCACGGCTCCAGCGTGGACAGTTCCATTTATGTCATTTATTTCAAGAGTCAAAAATAGGAACTACAAGAAAAATAATGTGTTCTCACCAATCCCTGGTGAGATTATACACAAATTTCCATGCATGTGTACATGTTACCGAAGAACACTGTTCAAACAGTATGCAAAAGATAATAGGGTAGATGTGCAGGCTGTAAGAATCCCAGTTCTTTACTAGTACACAAGGGAAATGAGCAGCTGGCTGATTCCCTTCCCTTCTTCCCCCTCCTCCCTTGCACAACCAGGATTAGTTTCTATTCATTTCAAAAGATTTCATTTAGAGCAAAAAACTCAATTAATCAACTTTTCTTAAGGAAAAAAAATTATAGCAAGGGCATAGAGGAAGGGTAGGGAAACCCAGATGTGCAGACTCTGAAACTCACAGCTGTGCTTTCATATCTTGATATAACTATGTTCCCAAGAACCGAGGTTTCTGTTGTTCATATTTAAATCTTGACTTATGCAACACACAGTGACTCAATTGTTATTTTCCAAGTTAGAATCCTTGTTTAGGATACTTGAATTTCACGTCTAATGCTTACAAGACTTAGGAGAAATCCTTTCCAATCCTGACAGGCTGATTACCAGAGTTCTATGACAGGCAGAGAGAAGGTAAAAGGAAAATGGATTGAGCATCGACTGAAAGTATTTATCTGAATGTTCTGAAGTCAATTAACTGACCACATTCTACTCAACTTACATGAGAAAAAATTATGTGGGATTTCATACACAGTTCAGCATTAATATTAAGCCATATTTAAAAGAAGTTAATATAATGAAAAATGTTTGGCCACCAGGAAAGTTAGTTTTTCTCAAAATATAGTACTCACACTAAAGTACAAGGCTGGTAGAATTCTCAGGATCCAATCACAAGGTTAAGTTGATGGCTTTCAAAGTGGTGGCAGAAATGACATGGGAATATACAAGACACATACTAGCAGTATACTTTTACTTGACTATTCAAATATTTGGTAAATATTCAAAAAGCAAAAAAATCTCCCTTCTGTTTTTAAGTTTCTATTACAGAAATTACTAACTTTTTACTTTTACATGTACATGTATATGCTGTAACATATAAGCAAATTTTGAGGCTAGTATTAAGCAACCAAAATTAGTTTCACAAAAAGAGTTAAAGAGGCTGTTTCTCATCAAGTCACATCCAATGAAGACAGAGGACTCATTTCAATTAAATAACAATCAGAAAGGGGCTCGGTAGTAAACAGGCATCACACTCAACTGCAGGTTCAACAAACTGCTGATGTTATGGCTCTGACGTCTGATTTCCTTTTATTTTAGCGAAAGTCAGTCAAGGTCATTTGGGGTGGTTGGTTACGCTCCCAAATATAAAACTTGAGATCTAACTTCTCACTTGCCACAATCTACATTGCGACTTTTTAATCCAATGATCTGATGCTTCTAAGCTGGAACATTTTAGCTCAATTTCCTTTTTGAGTTGGCTGCTAGTAAGTTAGGGCCAGATTTGTAGCCCACGTCTAACAAGCATTTTGTGTACAAGGTTTACTCCTGGTTTAATAGTTTTCTTTTTCATTTCCCCTTTACTTAGATCGTATTACTGATAAATTTTATCGTTGTATTTTTACGTGGCTCTGTAAACCTTCCTAAAAACTTTCCCTAGGGTAAAATTCAACTTATAGAAATCTGAATTTCAAGAGTTAAATGTAAAGGAAAGGTAGATTCAAACTACCCCAAATGAATGTTTCTGAGACGCTTCTGAAATTCCAAAAAGGTTCATTAAAAACTGAATCATTCAGGTATAAAAAAAGTCTGAGTGGAAAGGTACCTGGGTCACGATACATAATGGCACACAGGATAACCAGAGGCGGAATCTTTATTTCACAAGTTTCAAGATACAGTACAAAACGAATCTGTACATCTCTCTATTAACAGGATTTGTTTACACAATTATATTACACTTCACCAGCCTTTATACTGTATTTAATTAAATACAAAATAAATTTACAAAAAAGTCTACCATGGTGTTCCTTCCAATGCCAGCTTATGGTCTCTTAAAACTTCTCCAAAATATTCATAGTGGTTACACCTTGATCATAGCAACATTATGATTTTTTTAATCGAGAATAGTGTCAGCTTGTCATTCCAAATAGGAAAAACAGTGCATGTGAGATGACTTCCTGCATATAACCAAGACATCCTTCTCATGCACACAAAATCAGATTTTTACTTGTGCAAACAGTCACTTTAAAATACACATATTTTTTACTTGGGGTAAATATTCTTGAAATACCTAGTAGGAGAAATTTATCTTCTTTTCAATGACTATCACACATTTAAAAATCAGATAGTGCCTCAGACGATATGGTATTCAGAAATTTCATATTTTCACTTACATTTGAGAGCAATGACTGATAAAAAATATTTTCATGAAAATAGAAGTTTCTTTTGCTTTGATTATTTCTTGCACACTTCTAGTCATAATACTGTGCAACATATGTATATTAAATTCACTTTCAAAACAAATACAAGCTGTCATTGGGGGCAAACGGAGCCCATGCTGCTCTTCTTGGCAGGTAAAGGGGCTGTTTTATCTGAACCATTTTATTTTGAAATGTGCATGTGAAACTTTAGTCCAAACCTCTGTAAAGGAAGTTTTTTTGCAGATGTAGCTAGACAATAATATACATGCTACACACATCAAGAGTTGTGGTCTTCATTTATAGGCTTGGATGCATACTTCCAAAACACTGGTTTGAAGAACAAACATGAGGAGCAGAGGAGGGAAAAAAAAGCAAAAAAAATCTATACGAAATAAGTTTTCTTGAGGCAACAGCAGGTCCTTAATAAAGCATCAGATCATCAACAGATCACAGACAGAAGTTTCTAAAACTTCCCAATGGTATGAAGACAAAACAGCTGAGCAGTAAAGCTCTCGCCAATTAACCTTATGCACACAACAGTAACATGTCTTCAAAAGTATTAAGATTAATGATTCATAAGTTAATTGCATTTAAGTGTTAAATAATTAAATTTGGAAAAAAGAAAGGTTTTATTTTTTTGTGCCACTGAATATTAATCAAGAATAAGATAAGCCTTACTGAGAAAACAAAAAATTCAAAAGAAAAAAAAAAGAAAGAAAGAAAAAAACCCAAACACCAAAACTACCTTTGCAACAGAAAATAGAAGCAAAATGAATAGTCTCAAGACTCTGAAACAGGTAACTAAGCCACAACCAAATGCATGAGACTAGCTAAGCAGAATACTACTGCGGTCATCACCTCTGAAGGCAGGCAGACTATAAAAGGGATCAAGAAATGAGCCACGGAGAAATGAAGCCACACTCTATCTGATAACTAAATTCTAACATTAGAACTCCTGAATCCTGGAGTTAGTTTAATGTCACTGACATTTAACTAGCTTTAGTTACTGTCATTTTATTCAAATGGATGCCATTTGATTAGGTAAGGATTGAGCATTATTTTAGGAGAAACACCAAACCCAGTTCCTACCTGCTTAGGTATCATGAAAAGGGACCAAAGTATTTTGAGACAGCCATAAGGATCGAGGTCATGAAGCCATAGGAACTAAGTTGTTTTAAATATACCATTCGAATTTCCAGTAGCGAAAGACCCAGGGTAAAACAGGAAGTGGAAGAAAGCCAAGGAAAAGATATTTGAATTATTATTAATAAAAAGGACACGGCAAGTGGTAAACTACTAGGAGATTTGTTATTGCATGGAACAGGACTGCCAGGAAGTTCACACTATTAATGACGTGTTTTTTTCAAAGTATTAATAGAGGGAAGTAAAGACAGAGATAAAAATGCAGCTAAAGGAGAAATCAGGTGGATGGGAGAGAGGAAAAATGGAAGTTTAGTCAGCTTAGAGGTTTCAAAACTTTTAAATTTGTTAAAGCAGTTCCTTCGAAATGAAGCATGGATGCTACTGAGGATCGTCCTGACTCTGAAGGGTTAGAAGAGTCGGTGCGGACGCAGACACGGACACATCCTACCAACGGTGCTCGCATCTCTTAAGTGCAAGAGAGCAAGCAAGTCTTAAAATTTACAAAAGCTGCTCCAAACAACATTACGTTTTGAGGGTAAAATTTCCTACCTTTCAGATATGCCTTTAGACACATGGTTCTCACCATGACCGCCTCTTCACATTTGGAAGCAATTATCTGGGAGGAAAGTTTGTTTACCAGGTTTCTTATCATACTCTAAACACACACACACACACACAAAAGCATACAACTTCACACTGAAAGCCTTCATGTTCATAGACTAATTAAATCTAGTTCTAAATACAATCCCAACTTCAAGAACCAAAGTCTGACAACACTACATGTAATAAACTCTTCAAGATTTCGGGCGGATGGACGAGGGATTGTGGAAAAGAATAGAAGAATATACAGATTAACATCAACAGACGGAGCTCGGTGGGCCCAGAAAGCCTGCTCAGGTACAAATGTCGTCTGACTGGGTACCGGCTGGGGGCACCACCATCTGACAATGACAAGAAATACAATTTAATTTTTCATTTGTATGACACATGAAGTCGGCAAGTTTTCTTTGTTGTTGTTTTCCACACCGTTTAGCCAGACAATTCTGAAGTGTAACAGCCTTGACTTTCCTAGTGTTAACAGTAGGAGGGTGGTGAATATGATCGCTAAGCAAGCGGCTGACTTTCTACTAAAACTGCAGAAATAAAAACCTGCCTTAACACAGGCAGAACAGTATAAACAGGTTTTAGCTTTTCCCAACCACTGAGTTTAATGCATCTTAGACTCTGAGTTTTAGTATTATAATGGTAGTCGCTGTATGCCATATCTTGGCAATGACATTTTATACTTAAAGAATTCAGGAGGGCGCTGTCTTTTTGCAACAAGAAATGCAAACTAAATAAATCCTGGGAACAAATGCTTTGGCGCTGGGGAAAGTATGTCTATGATCTTGGTACCCCATCCAGAGTCTTTAATGTTGTTTCCTAACTTTTCCCAGTTAGTCCATCCTCTGGCTTCCAGCTCAAGGCTCTGTATACTCAAAAACAAACAAGCGAATTACATTAAGTAGGTGGGGCAAATTCACACATTAGCTCCAGAAGTCGGTTCACAATGTTTTATATATATTCCATTCCAAAGAAATGAAGTTCACATAAAACTATTTAACAAGGCCTTTCAGTCTTGGAAGGAGAGAAGCATGGTATGGAGTATGACAATCACCAATAGTAAGAAACCTCCTTACCCTTCCTTTTAAAATGACAAATATGCTGTACACTTGCATGTGGATTGGTAAAAGTTTCTGTTATCGCAGTTCTTAAATCCTTTGAAGACTTTTTTTTTTTTTTTTTTACTTAAAAGGCAAGTTCTATTTTCAGACTTTCAAATGTGTTAAGGTTAAACTTGTTAAGGTTAACCAATTGGGTTTTCCTTTTTATATGGATCAGTTTTTAGTGTCGATGCACAAGACCTTAAAAATGGTTGATAGAACTTATGCGCATTGAGAGAATGACCACAAGGACCCAAGAAAGATAGCTGGATAAAGCAGACATTACTTTGAGGGTCTTGCATATGTTTCCAGAAAAAAAAAAAAGGAAACCCACAAGAGTTGTGAATCAAACATTCAACTCAGTTTAGGTAAGAGTTACTTATCCCTGAAAATAAAGGCATCAGATTCTAAGCAGCTTTAGGAATTCAATGCTTCCTTGTGCCTCTTCCAGGAGGTGGCCACTGATCCGAAGTTCTACAGCAAATGCAGATGTTCTCAGCGAACAATTTCCTTGGTTGTCACCGATCAAGGCTGGACACTGTGGCTGTTACTGTGGTGGCTGTTGCTCTGGTGGCCCCTCCTGCTGCGGTGGAGCTGGCCGTGGCCCTGGAGGCCTGGGGACAGGCATGTCTTGGTGCTGCCTCTGCCTGTAAGCTATAACTGTTCCCAACAGCAACGCGATGATAGTCATGAGGTAAAGGTCCCACTCAGGTCCCAAAAGTTGGTCCATATCAAGTTGGGTGAACATATCCCGAATCTTAATGAGAATATAAAAATCATTATGATCACTAACATGTCAGAGAAGGAACTAGGAAAGTTATGTCACAAATTAGGAATAAATACAGAACCTATTAAAATAATTGGTTTTAGGAACATTTTACAATGTGTTTCTTTTTTTAAAAAAGGTTTTAAAAGACTTTAACTGAAACTCCAAAAAAAAAAATGTGTCTCAGGAACTAAGCCATTATTTCATCGTGTTGACTATGTAAAGTGTCTAGCAAGGTTTCTTTCCAGCAGTTATCTAATGAACTAATTTCCAACTATTTTTCACAGAAAATATTTGAAAAGAAACTGGAGATAGGGAGCCAATGGAGAGCCAAGGGGGGAAAATCAGTATCTTGATATACCTCTAACCTATTCGTAGTGATGGCACACCAGCTGAAGCTCGGTTCCAATGACAGCAGGGCTGTTTTATTACTTCTCTCATGTAACTGAAGATGGCAGGAATTCCAATGCTTAATAGCTGAATGAATAACGCTTTCTATTTGGGATTTAACTAAATATTCAATACCTGAACTTGAACGTAACAGTTATGTTCTTAGCCTATGACATTTTAATTATTCTGGCGTCGCTTAAATTATTCCTGTTATTCTCTGACTGATACTTATTCACAAAGAAAGTAAATATGGGGTATAATCCTTTGCATTTAAATACAATTACATTAAGTCCCCATAATATATATTTGTAGGCATAGATGCTAAATTTTTCTGAAAAGAAATTACAAGAAGCTATTAACTGTGTTTTCTAGGAGGGAACTGAGATGGGGATTTTGTTTCTCTGTACTGTTTGACTTTCTTACTATTAATACTTATTACCTGTTCTTTTTTAGTTGGACTATCTAGGTGGTAGGATTATGGGGCATTTTATTGTCTTCTTTATACTTCTGTATTAAAAATTAAATAAAGATATAATATACTTAGTATGTTGTACTGCAGACCAAATCCTATGCTCCCACAGTTAGCTTTTAATTAAAGGAACGGAGATTGTTTCAATCAGCAGAGGGTACAGCACACCCTGGCTCATGCTAGCAAGCAAAAAAAAATTTGGCATTACAGATGTATAAGCAATCAGGAGGACAGAGGTCAACATCCCCGGTCCCCTGGAGCCCTATATGTGGATCCCTCCACAGCAAGGGCCAGGGCTGCAAAAGAAGGAGGTGTCAAATTTCTCTTTTTTGACTACCTTTACATCTGTGCAACATAGGAGGGAACCCATTCTAGAAGAATCATCTATGCTGAAACCGTGTATCTGAAAATGTTTCAACTTGTTCTGAAAGATGTTAACAAAAGGTTGAAGCAGGATCCTTTTCTGATCTAGGATGAATTGCAGTTGAATAGCTCTTGTTTCTGCACATATTTTAAGACTTTCAGAGTCAAGTGCTGTATGTACCAGTTAATTTGTTATGAGGAACTACAAGTACTGAAAACAAAATGTAAACTGGAGGACCCAAGAGCACCTACGTATAAGTATTGTTAACTGAAGTTGGTAGTTTTAAAGAGAATGGCTAAATCATCTCCTACGTAGGTTCTATCACTAGCTTATTTAAATAGTTCAAGGTATTTTTGGAGAACAAAATCTCGGTGGTGTTTTTAACATGTTTCACTATCAGATGAATCTGAAGTACACGAGGCTGGGGAGGTTCTCAGGTCCTCCTCCTTCCATTTTTAAAAATTCTCTTTTTTAAGGGACTGGTATGAGTCACTTTTAGGCAGTCACCTGATTTAATGTTTACTGATTTTGGTTAACTACTGTTTCACATTGCCATGGGTCAGTCTCAGTTCTCCCTAAGCCAGAAAACTGCATAAAACACGTTAAGACTGGGAACCACTGTCAAATGTCACTTGAAAACTATAACTGCTTTATGGCTACATTCATCCCTCATCTGATGAGGTCTGCAGGTACTTCCCCTGCGGGAAGAAAGGAAGAGACCAGACACTTACAGGACACTCCTCTCCCCTCCCCTAACTTTTAAAATACAAACCTCCAGACGGAGGTTACATCACTTGTAGTTTAACTGAAAGAGGCAGGGACCACTTACATTTGTTTCCCGTATGCACTGCAAGAAATAGACAATGCCCAGTTTGCAGAGTGCGAGGAAGACTGGTACTTGAGCATCTGGGCTGGCTTCGGCTGCCATGTCATAAAAACGCTTTGCAAGGTGAATATCCTATAATATAGGTAACAAACCAAAATTCATTTCTTGTTAAAATAAGTTAAAAATAATTATTATTTAGTTTACATATTAGGAAAACTTATTTTATCTTTCAAGTGTCTTTTAAAAATTTCCTTTATCTAAAGGAAAAAACCTAAGCTTCCATTGAGTAATATTTCTTTTATTGACTGATTAATTTTGAAAAATTTAATTGAAAAGTTTAAGACTTAACTTATATTCCCCCCAATCCGACCTCCATCTGCTGTGCAGATATGTTGCCTACATTTTAAAACTTTCAGAGTTAAATGCTGCACCAGTGTTATATCTACAGAAAACATTGTTAACCCGGACATCTCTGGGGTGACCTGTAAATCGCAAGTTTATTTTTTCCTACTTAAAACTTTAGTCAATGTAAGCAATTCCTGGTTTCAGACTGGAGCAGTGATCTGGGGTAGACATACTGCAGACTTTCCAAGGGACACTTGCATGGACAGTATTAAGTGACCTGCATTCTGTGTCTTAAATGTATTTCTGTAAAGGGTGAAACACGTCACTGTCAATTTTGGCCCTGGTCAGAATGTTCTGCAGAATGGGATGGTGGGCATTTTGAAAATTTCATCTGCCAACCTGACTTCTTCCATGCCCTGACTATTGTCAAAGAATATCAAGTTCCTAGGAAAGAATTCGTGAGACATGGGAAAGAAAGCCTAAACATTAAAAATGACTTTTTTTTCACATATTTAAATAAAGGCAGTTACTTTCAGCTATTCCCTGCCCAAGTACCTAGGGTGTGTCATAAGCTGGAAAGAAGAGCACCTTCGAACAATAGTAAGTATGGTTAGTGTCTCTGATTTAAAATATTTAACTGAATTTTTTTTGGACTGCCATATTTCTTAAAGATCATAACATGTGATTTTTATATTAGTCATCAAACACGTTAATTTTATTTTAATTAAAAAACGTTTCTGATAGAAACCAAGTCTGATTTGGCTGACTGATCGGACAATGAGAAGAGGCTTCAATACTATGTTATGGGGCAGAGACCCAGCGCATTAGCAAAACCCAATGGCAACTTTCCCTTAGGCACATCAGGTCAGAGTAAGCGGTGTAAGGGTTAGTTATCTGATAAGCCCTGGTAAAGCCTCTCAGGTACTCCTCCCAGAGACTGAGAAAGGGATGACTGCAGTGATCAGGGAAGACAGCCTTTTTGTAAGTCTCTAGATTCCAATTCTTTGCTTTAAACAAAACTGAAGAGGGACCTAACCAAGTTGTCAGGTGATAATTAAAAATAATTTTAATGACAAGTTTCTCTGATTTTTGGCATGTTATGGACTGAATGTTTGTGTCTCTCCCAAATGCATGTGTCAAAGCCTACCCTCTAATGTGGCATTAGGAGATGAGGGCTCTGAGAGATAATTAGAATTAGATGAGGGTTGAGCTCTTGTGAATGGAGTCAGCATCCTTCTAAGAGCCCTTAAGGAACCTGCTACTTGCTTCTTGCTCTTTCCTCAGGTGAGGACAAAAGCAAGAAGACGGCTGTCTATAACCCAGGAAGTGGGCCCTCACCAGTCCCCAAATCTGCCAGCACCTTGATCTTCAACTTCCCAGAACTGTGAGAAATACATTTCTGTTGTTTAAGCCCCCCAGTCTATGGTATTACTATAGCAGTCCGAACTAAGACAGCATATAATTCTAAAGTAGTTTAAAGAATTAAGTGACCTTGCTATAATAAAATTCTTCCCATTCCCATATACTTATATACATGATAAGGCTGCAGTCATATACTTATACAAATAAAAAATAAAATTGATGTTAAATTGACTCACTGATATTTAATTTTTAAATGCTCCATACATCTGATTAAAAATGCATTTTCAGTAATTACTCAAAAATGCAGAATTTTACCAAAATTTATACTATTGTGCTGACTTAATCAACAGTATATTAACAATTGATCAACTATAACTAATAAGAGCTCAAATTTTTTTCTTAATAAAACTTATAATCACAGGAAATAAAATTCAAAATTTAAATTTATATAATTATTTCAGATAAATACAGAGTGAGCAAAGATCTAAGCATAAAAAATATTACTTTATAAATCTATAGGAATAGGGGACTGAAAATATAAATTCAGGAAGAAAAGGAAAAGATACAATTTGTAATTATAGAATTTGCTGTGTATTTTTTAAAAATTAATAATGGGTGCATCAAATTATTTAGGGTTATTTAAAATTTAAATTTAAATCAATTTAGAGTAATTTAATCATTTTATTTAAAAATGTTTGTATTTAAAATAGCTAGAACTTAGATCCTTTCAAACTTATGATGAAAAAATTTAAATGTCAGCTTAAGAATGTACAAGATGATACAGTTTTTCAAAATTCTTTTAAGGGTACCCAGACCATGGGTCTAAAGAAAGTTAAACTTCAGTAGGAAGGATTAAGAATCAGAAATAAGTTTCTTAATAGCAAACATTGTAATTCATTTTAAAATACTTTAGAAATAATAGAATTTGTCTGAAGATGGAGAGACGGTTTCTCAGACAGGGTGGTATCAACAGAGGCAGCACTGCATTTCCATTTTTATGAGTCTGTCTTTGGCTTTATATCCTAAAAATAGTAGTATGGATATCAATATGTATATGTGCTGGATGATGACAGAGATACAAGAACAGTCTTTTGAAGCATTATAAAACAGTTTCATAACTTAGTACCTAAAATCTGAGCACATTCCAAAGAAACCATATTTCTATAAAAATGCAGACGTTTTCCCCAAATCACAATTTATATTAATCAAACATTTGTTTTGAAGCCAACCTCACCTGTTTAATGCCTAGTCCTTTCTCATGCATATATCCCAGATTAAACATAGCTTGTGCACTGTGTTGTTGCTCAGATGCCAGACGATAATGAATAAATGCAGTCTCGTAATCTACGTCTGTGCCAAATCCATAGAAATGGTAGTCTCCAAGCTTAATTCTAGCCACAGTATAGCCTTAAACAAAAGTTAAATGCAAAATTGTCAACAAATAGTGTTTAAAGCACGCCAAACTGTTATTTCTCTTCCTGTTAACATGCTTACATAGAAAAGAATTTTAATTAATAGCGTACAAACTTTACGACAAATCCCTCAGCCAAGGTATAAATTCAGTTAAAATTCAAGCTAGAAGTGCTGTTCTAAAGAAGGCTTTGCGATAGGAAGAGATAAAACAAGGTGGGTGGTACCCCCTAGTTCATGAATAATACTCTTCAAATGAACATATGCTATTTAGTCACATCATTTACATTTTAAATAGTTGAACTAGACCTTGTTTAGGCTCAAGAAGAGATAGGCAGACAATGTGGAGAGTAGTACGTGTGAGAAATAAATAATCAAATGAAAAGTAGTGGGGAAAAATTTAAATGTTTTGGGTTTCAGACTAATATTCTATTATACCACCTATTTAATTCTCATCTTATACAACATACTGGTTTCAAACTAAAACCAAAGAGTAAACCACAGCACGATGCAATGTCCAGTACAAAGATCTTGCAATTCAATTTAGAAACCCTGAAATCAGAACTTCCATTTTAAAAGTAAATACTAATCATGATGCAAAGAAGTTAAGCAATAGTTAGTATCTCTGCTTAAGGTGATCAATGACGTGATTTAATCTTTATGGGAAAAAAAAAAAAAAAAAAAAACAATAAAGAAAGGTCCCTGGGTGAAAAGCTAATGCTTTAGAATTAAGCAATCACTCACCTTGAGAGGCAGCCCTGTTCCAGTGTAGCAAAGCTCTGGGATAAGTTTCGTTCTCACCTACGATGGTTGCTTCCCCTACAGGGGAAGATGTGACACAAAGCAGGCACTTAAGGAAAGCCACTAGACTTTTAGGCTTCATTTGCAAATGGGTAGATATGTGGAACATCATTTAAACAAGAACTGGGGTGTAACAAATATTAAATGAAAAAAGGACTGTACTGAAATTAAACAAGGATTAGAATTAAATACTGACTTCGAAGGAATCATTGCATTTAGGACACTGCTTCCTGAAATGTGTTTTATCCACAGAATAATAAGACTGAAAAGTGAACCACTTCCAGTAATCTACAATCTGCTGGAAAAACAATGTTTTTGTATCTGCTATATTTTGAAAAATGTATTTATTGAAAGCAGTTAATTTTATGATAAAGGTCAAATCTATCTCTACTGTCAATTCTATAAAACTAACTTTGAAGAGCTAAGGTAAAATAACTTAAGCATGGGTGGTAAATTCTATTTACAACATTAAGACATTTCTTCGTGGATTTATTCTTAAATGGCTTAGCCCGAAGTGAGCCCCGGTAGTCCAAACCCAAGGCTTACTCTGGTCGAGAATGAAGGCTGCATTGCTTTGCGCCACCTCATAGCCCTGCTCGGCCAGCAGGAGGTACTGGATCACGGCGGCATTGTAGTCACCATCTTTATAGCTGTTATAGGCCGTCATGAGCCTCTCAGACCAACGGCCCCGTTCACACACATTCTTAAACAACTGTGAAAACAGGAAAGAAAAAAAAAAATAGGAAAGATATGCCAGAAAATCATTTTTCACTTTGACTACGAGGGATTGTTAAGCATGTTCTGTAAACGTCTGGCAGTTTTATTTATTAAATATATATAAAAGTCTAAGATATGTATTTGAAGCTTTCACTTAAGTCTTTAGAATAGATTTATACAAATAATAGCAAATAATTATATACCACTTATGCTGGCCAGGCACTGTGCAGTGTGACTTATGCATAGTACGTATATTAACTCGCACAATCCTCCCATGAAGTCCACGGGGAAACATTCTATGTGGTAAGTTCTATTAATAACCCCACTTTACAAGTAAGGAAACTCAAGCACAGAGTGAGTTAAAACTTTGCTAAGCAGTTACCAATATCATTCTAAAGTACCAATTAGGAGAGAGCTAAAGAGGAAAAGCTCCAATTAGGAGAGATTAGCATTCGCCTCTGCGACATTCAATTAACAAACACTTTTCTGAAGCTTACTATGTCTCAGATACTGTCTTATGTGCTAGAGAGACTGCAGACAACAATATCTGTCTTTATAAACACTGATTCTAATAGGGAGGGACAAATGAAATACATAAGTGTGATAGTAACACACAGACCCTCAGGCTTCCCTCAGTATTCCAATGCTAGTAGGCTGAGTCTGTTTCTACTCTAGAAGAAATCACACAAAGAAAACCAGAATTAAAATGGTAGATTTTCCTACTGGCCAAGTTAATTTTCCGTATAGAAGCTGGTATAAAAGCCCTCACCTCCACTGCATTGTGACATGATCGCATCACTCCTGTGCCGCTGGCATGCATCTGTGCTAGGTTATAGAAAGCCAAGATATGGCCTCCCTGGGAAGCTAAATTAAAATACTTCAGAGCCTGTTTATAATCCCTCTTGACTCCGATGCCATCTGTAAAGAAAATCACATAAAAAGTCAGGAAGTGTCTTAAGAAAGACTGAGCTGAAGCATCAGAGAAGCCTTTTCTGGGAATAAAACTAAATGAAATTCAGAATTCTTACTCAGGAAAGATGTGAATCTTATTAATACAGATCTGTATATTAATACATATTAATATAATTTACAATAAAAAAACAAGATGTACAAATCATTGAATTGGAGGAACATTAATCAGCCAGAATTTGACAGCTCTCATTTCTATAACATAATGACATCCTCTGGAAAACAGGTAATTCAGGTCTTCGTGTATCTATCATTAACGCCAATGTTACTTACTATAGTACATAGAGCCAAGCTGTAGTTGCCCGTCCACCCAGCCTTGTTCAGCAGCTTTCTGGAAATACTTCAGTGCCAGATCATAATTCTATAGAAAAAGAGGTCACATGATCATAAGATGAGCAAGCTCAAAAGGCTGACATACTTGGAAGGTAGGAGAGTCATTCATTGAAAAGAATTAACAAAGCACATTAGAATACTGTCAAAGAGCCATTAAAAGGACTACTTTCTAATTTTTTGTATTATACAGATGGTAATACACTTTAAGTCATAGAGGGATTAATATTTAAGACTGAAAAAAAGCAAGTAAGAGTTTTTGTGAAATAATTTGTATGTCTACTCCCAGAAAGCATAAACAACACCAGTGGAACACAAAGATGAGATTTAAGGGACAGTCCTGTTTCCTATTAACCAACCAATCTTTTTTAAACTTCACTTTTTCTAATACTAAATAAGGATAATTATTCTCTCCTTATTTGTTCCTTCCCTGCATTCATATCAAACACTATATGATTATTAGATTTCAAATATCCTACATGGCCACAGAGAAAAACTGAAACAAAAATCACTACTGAACTTCAGTATCCTAAAATGACCAGAAATCAAAATAAGATCACATTACTGTCTCTTGTGCTAGGGAATGAAACCCAGCTTAGTTTTAGGTCCACATTAAAAAAGCATACTGCTTAGATCACATAGAGAAGAGAAGAGGACAGCGATGAGAACCCAGGGCATCCAACATGAGGAGGCAGCACAGAAGCATGAGAGCAATGGCCCAGGAAAACCAAAAGAGCTCGCAGTCACAGAACTCCAGTGAGCAAAGAGTTCAAGGGATACAGAACCAAAAAATGCCATCCGGAACTGACATTTAGGAGGTTCCTGGTGACCTGTATAAAGCAGTTACATCAGACAGAAGCCTGACTGCTGAGCTAAGGAGTGAATGTACCAGCTAATACAGTCCATTCTTTGGAGAAATTTGGCTTAGCAGTGAAGAGCCACAGAGAGGAGAGGTGGGGCTACAAGGACAAAGGGCAGAACAGAAAGCTTTCCTCCTCATTAGTGGGAGAGACTAGAGCATTTTCTTAGGCTTGAGTGAAGAAGGGAGATGCTTCAGTCTTGGAGAGATGGCAGAGTGGGTAGGGTAGAGAGCACAGATGGAAGAACGAGAAACAGCTTCACACCTTCAGAAGAAGGTGCCAGAGACAGAGCCATGCTACCAAGGCAGTTGGTGTGGCAGGTATAGGAGGAGGGGAGGCAGGGAACTGAAGTCAGAAACAGGAAAAGGTTTAGGTTTGGTTATAATGGCTGACTGGAATGGAAGCTGGTTAAGGAATACTCTCCTACCTCGCCAGCCGACTGCTTGTTAAAATCAGAAAGCAAGATGGAAACTTACAACTTGAACTCCTCTCCCGTAGAGGTAAGCCATGCCAAGCCCACTCTGTCCAACCGGGTTGCCCTGCAGAAGAGACCAAAGAGTGAAAGGATTCATTAAAAAGTAGGCAAGACTAAATGGCTGCAAAAGAAATAATTTACAAGCATATTCAAAACAAGTCTTAGCACTTTTTAATTCAAAAAAAAAAATTTCTCCTTCCCATCAGGCTAAACATAACACTGAGTTTTAGAGATCTGAGGACTTTCAATAATTTGCCGAAAAAGAGTAAATACTAAATTCATTAAGAATTAAATTTTGGTGACTTACTTTATGACCATCTGCTCTATGAATTTAAAATATAAAACATGACTAATGTATTTCATCTTTTTAGGCTTAAAAGTAGGTCACTTTTGGGGGGTAGTTTTTCACTGGTAACCTCCTTCCCCAATAGAGAAGGAAGATGCCATGGGGCAGAGTCAACGACCACACCGTAATGGCAATACTGGAATTGGGTGGCAAAGGTATGCTTATTACCAGAGTGTCACAAACCAAAGATAAGCATTGTTTTGAGACCTGAAAGAGAAAAATGTAGAATTCACCTGAACTTAGGACAGAAGGCATCTTTAAAAAACTGTCACAGCGCTCCTTTGGGAAATACTCAACTGACATTTGGAACCACAGTAAAATGTAGTTCGCGAAGAGACAAGTGCACACTCTGGAGGCATATAGGGTCTTAAGTATTCATATGTTGCTTTCTCTGGGCCAAAGAAAGCCTAAATTGTGTATTGTGAGTATCAAAAGTACCTACTTAAGAAAGTTTAAAACCTCAAGCTGCAGCACATACAAGGTAAATTATATAACTTTCAATTCCATTACTAAAATCAATATTTCCCTGATCAGGAAACTTCTCAATGACAGAGAAAGACTTAATATTTAATAATCTGATCTCTAAAAAGAATAAATTGCTTTTCATTGTTTTTTTTCCTAGTTAATTCATTCACATGAATCATATTTATGTAAATGATTTCAGTAATTAATGGCATGAGTTGGTTATAACTAATCCTTCAATATAATAAGCTTATTTATTAAAAAATAATAGTAATATGGTACACATTTCAATAGAGTCATGAGGTCTTACCATGTCAGCAGCTTTCTTGAAGTAGTGAAGAGCTGTCTCATTACTCTGAGGCACAATATCACTTCCCTCTGAATACATCTGGAAAACAGACCGTAAGTTTATTAAGACTGATAACCCGCTCTCCAATCTCATCTGATTCTGGTTTTTGTTAGGTCTCATGAAACCTTTCAACAAAGTTTAAAATTCCCCATAGGATATTTTAGAATTAAAAGCAAAACCTTAAAAGTAGACATTTTATATTATTATATATTCTATGTCATACCAAATTTATGACTTAACCTATATACATAAATAGGTAAAATCAACTTACAGATCTCAGGAGAAGACAGCTTTAACCCCAATATGAATCTTTTTTCTCACTCTATCTCAAAGCAGTTAAATGGCTGGTAAATTGCTTTGGATCTGTGATTAAATGAGGAAAGGAGAGCTGGCAATGTCTGCTTTCCTTTCTCCTCTACCACTACTTTCTCCGGGATAAGATACAGGGTAGGTCTTAAGTTCAGAAAAAAAAATAAGTAAAAGTTTATTTTATAAGGTTTCAAGCACCAAATGATTAGAGTATCATGTATGGAACATGATAAAGGACCGAAAGAAAGAACAGAATGACTAATACTATTTTCTTCCACGTACGTACTGAGGAAATGACAAAGGATGTCATTTTTGAGGTTGGGCTAGTTAGTATTTCAGAGCAAAAACTCAAATCACTCAAATAAGAAGTTCTCAAATGCTTAAGAGAAACAGTGGAAAATACCGATGTCTATGCTGTAGCAGCTGAAATGTCTAAACATAAAGTTCTCGGCCCCAATTAAAACATGATCATGTGGCAAAAACTGACTAGATTGTTCTATTTGTAAAGACCTTTGAGATACATTCTATCTAACTCCAAAATCTTAGGATTTGGTCGCAGATGAAAATACCCTTTGGTTTACACTGTATTAGTTTTCAAAATAATGAAAAAGGAAATTATGAGACTGTGCCATAACATATGGAATTTATTCATTAAGTCTTTAGATTTAAATGTTGCCTTGCTTGAGAGAAGGACTGCATTGAGAAATGGGTGATGGTTATCACATTTAAGACAATTAAAAGGTCTGCAGACAAATTCCAACTAAATCTAATTGCTTCTACTCAGCAAGGAAGTTAACAGGCAATTATGACAGACTAGCAAAGACTGCCTAGCATAAATCCCTCATTATTGCATACAATACACAAAAAAGTAGAAGCTCAGACAGTGATAGTTAATTTCAATGGAAAATTTACATACTGATGAGCAAATGCTATGTCATGTCTAAGTTGCCTAGGAAAATGCCTTCGAATAGCATTGCCTTAAGATACAATAACCTTGCACTGGAAATTTTATTTCGTTTATTCTTGGTAAATTATAGACTCTGAATATAGTATGTACTTATTATGCAAACACCTCTTGCCATTATACAACACATTCACAGGATGTACAGTACCTTTCCCAAGAAGGCCATAGCATGGGAATTGCCAGCATTAGCTGCTAAATTGAAGTAGTCAAATGCTCTCTGTAAGAAAAGAATTAAGATAATTAGTTTTTAATAGAGTCTGCCCCTGGCTTTTAACCAAAATAATTATTTCAGGGACATTTAAAAAATCTTGTCATATTGTAGTATCTCCGTATAAGTAGACGGCAACATGACATCTATTGTTTATATCCAATCCACCACTAAGTCCTGCTACTTTTACCACCAAACATCTTGAATCCACCTACTATCCATTACCAAAGGTCTAGTGTAAGCTACATTATCTGTCACCTGAACTTCTGAAATACTCCACTCGCTGATCTCCCTGCTTTTAGTCTTGGGGTCATCCAAAGAGACTGCTCTTAAATCTCGACATGCTGGTCCTTATGGCCCCACGAAGTGCTGCAGGGAATATACTGACACGAGCACACACTGTCTCAATACTGCTTCCTCTCCCGCTCTGCACTCTGGGTATACCCGCTCAGTTCCTTCCTGCCTCAGGACCTATGCACATATTGTTCTTATTGGCCTGGAATGATCTTACCTCCAGTCTCAACTAAAATATCATCCATCTCTCCTCAGAGACAACTGCCACCTCCCACTCATTAAGCTGTTATTGGCCCCTTTAATTATTTTTAGTAATGATGATCACAATTTATTACATATTTTCTTTGGTGTGATCATTTACAAAATATCTAATGCTTCTATTAAACTTGAAGCTCTGTAAGGACTCAAAGACCAAAGCCATTTTGTCCAGCACTGTATCCAGAATGCACAGCAGTGAATGGCACATAGTAGTTGTTCAAAATTTGTTGAATTAACACAGTTATGCATTGGATACTCCTTTTCTTCCTTCTGTGAAGCCGGAGAAATAATTTATCTTTGTGTAGTTGCTTCACATGTAGGCAGCATACACCACCAAAAATATCTCAAAACTTACTGTATAAAAGGTATGCAGCAAACTCTTATCAGGAATTCTGTTCTCTTATCTGATATTTTTATTAACCAGTTCATCTGATGCTTCACTGGCCTAATGACAAACATTTTAATAACTTAAAGACGATGAAAGTTGTCAAAATGCCATCTGAATTTAAAAATAGGCATATATATTTGGCATAGTTTTGGTAATAAGCATATTCTGTTATGACCAAATTCTTAAAGTTGATGGGATATGGTATATGAAATAACCTTAATTAGAATACTTAACTGGCATGGTAGAAAAACAAAGTTTTATGAGTCTGACAAACATTTATTGAGAACTTACTATGGGCTCGGCACTGTCAGGTGCTGGGAATAAAAGTGGCAAACAAGGCAGATAGTTCATGCTCTTTTAGACTTTATGTTCTAGCAAACAACTTAATTACATAATTAACTAATTTACAATAGACAAGGGCCATAAGGAACACAGGTTTTCAGAGATCGGATCTGTGGTACATGACCTATTCTTGCAGTGGGGCTGGGGGCACAGGCAGTATTAGAAGAGATACTAGAGTTGAGTTCTGAAGGATGACTAGGAATCAGCGATGTGAAGAAAGGAGTTGGGGTAATATTTATTCTGGACAGAGGGACTAGCATTCTAGAAGCCACAAGAGAGGTTTTTTGATATTTCAAAGACCTGAAAAAAGGTCCCTCTGCCCAAGACTCAGAAAGCAAAGGGCTGGTGAGGTAAACAGAGGCAAGTATAGGGCCCTGGAGGCCATGTTAAAGGTTCTGATCTTTAAACGGCTGGAAATTGTGAGCCACTCAAGAGTTTTAAGCAAAGGAACCACACGACCAGATTTATGGTCTACAAAGACAGGCTACTGCTTAGGATATACAAGCAGTAGATGATTCATATGAGTGATGGGTGTACTGATAGTAAAAGAAGGAAAGAGATGAGTGATATTTAAGACATAAAGCAGAAAAAAGTGACTGGATATAGATCTGACTCCTATAGTTTTACAAACAATGAATTTTCCTCGGTTCTTTGCAATATTTTCGAATAGAAGTTTTAAGACATACATCAATCGCATACCTATAGAAAACAAATACATTGTGTGTGAATTTATATTTGGAAGCATTGAGAACTAGGTTTTACAATTAAAACCTTTCCCACCTCTATGAGGTGTAACCACATTTCTATTCTTCAGTTCCTCAGAGGTTAGTGAGATCTTTTCACTAAAAAAAGTTCATTTGTGATAGTCATCTTAATAACACAAGCTTGATACTATCACTGACTTAGCAAAAAAATATATCTGAAGAATTACTTCTTCCTATAATAGGAAGTGCAAAGCCCTAGGAACAAGAAAGTTACCTGATGATTTTGTTCAACTCCACGCCCCCCATGCAGATGCAGTTGTCCCAGACCGACCTGAAAATTAACAAAAATTGGCAAAAGTAAATGGTAGCATCTGAAGTATAATTAAATTAGACCAAAAAGAAATCACTTGGTCATAAAAAAGTTTCTAACTCAAAAAATTAAAGATTTAGTTTTAACTCCTAAAGATATGCTACGTTAACCTACATTGTTTAAAAACTAAAAAAGTCTGCTTTTAATTATAAGGTATCCTTCTGAAATGAAGGGGAAACAAAGGCATTTTCAGACAAACTAAAACTGAATTTGTCAGCAATGAACCTATTCTAAAGGAAATATTAAAGGATGTTCACTAGGAAGAAGGAAATTGTCCTGGGAAGCTTAAAGATGCAGTAATAAATAAAGAACAATGGGAAGGCAAAATTCTGAGTAAACCCAAATTATATGGACTGTATAAAAGAATATCTTGTGGAGTTCAAAATATGTAAAATTAAAACACATACAGACACACTCAAACCAAAAGAGGGTAAGAAAGGAGAGAAAAGGGAACATGGAAAAACAACAGAAAGCAAGATAGATAATTTAAACCCAAATATATCATTAATTACTCCAATTAAGACTGTCAAAATGGATAAAAAACAAAACCATATGATGCTTACAAAAGACATACCTTAAACATAAGAAGCCTGAAAGTACAAGACAGAAAAAGTATTCCATGTAAATACTAACCAAAAGAAAGTAGCATAGCTATGCTAGTATCAGGCAAAATACAATTTAAAGCAAAAAACATTTCTAGAGATAAAGGAGGACATTTTATGATATAAAAGTTCAACAGAAAGATAACAATATTAAGTTTGTATGCACTCAACGTAGCCTAAAATATGTAAATCAAAACTGACAGAACTAAGAGAAGAAAGAGACAAATCCACATTGAGAGTGGGAAGTTAAAACAGTATTATCTCAGCACTGGGCAGAAACAGCAGACAAGTTCAGTAAGGATTCAAGAGATCTGAACAGGATTAAGAAACATGACTTTACTGACACACACTTAGAGCACTACACCTAACGAGTGCAGACTTTGTATTCTCTTTAGCATACAGATTATTTGCGCAAACTGACCAAGTGATGGGACATAAAGAAAGTCTCAAAAAAATTTCAAATGAGTGAAATCATACAGAGCATATTCGACCACAGTAGATTAAACTAGAAATCATCAACAAAAAAATAGAAGTAGAAAATCCCCATGGAAACTAAGCAATTCACTTCTAAATTACACATGGGTTGAAAGAAATCACAATGAAAATTAGAGTAAATATAATGAAAATATGACAGTGGGAGAACATGTTCTATCAATATCAAAATCTACGAAGCTATGAAAACAAGACAGTATTGGCACAAAACATGTAGAAGAATATGCGCAAAGCATGACTTGCAGTAGCCCAAATCTGAGAACAAAATGGATAAATAAATTGTGGGATTTTCATACAATGAAATATCATATAGCAATGCAAATGAATGAATTACAGCTACATGAAAATACAGGGGTTAATTTCAGAAACATAATGCTGAGCAAAAGAAGCTGATACCCAAAAAAAAATGCTGTATGATTTTTCTTCTTTTACATAAGATTTGAAAGCAAGCCAAACCAATCTACGGTGTGAGAAGTCAGCTCAGTGGGTTACCTATGGGGAGGAGGGAGGAGTTAGTGATGAAGAGTTCCGAAGAGGGGCTTCTGGGGTGCTAGTGATGCCCACACAAGAGGCTCACTTGGTGATAATTCACTGAGTTGTACACTTCAGATTTGTGTACTTTTCTGTATTCATATAATAATTCAATAAGCAAAAAAAAAAAAAAAAAAGGAAAAAGAAAAAAAGAAAATGATATACTATATCACACACACATGGATTTTTTTTAACTTGAGTTTTTCACTTTATACATTGAAATCAGCTTTCCACACTAAACAGTATTCTACATAATTTTTAATGCACAGAATTTCATTTTTACAGTGTCATATTTGAACTAATAATTCTCTAACACTGGGCATTTAGATTGTTTTACATTTGAACTGGTCTCTAATGTAAAAGAAAGATGTTTAATTGAACAAGATAACTTTATTAAAATTTACATTACCTAAGATTTGAATTTGTCACTGTAGTTTTTTTCTTTTTTTAAGTTAACACTCCCTCTTGTTAGTCTTAAAATTTTTCTTAAAAAGTATCTATTACTCATCTCCATATATTTCTGAATTGGAAAGAACTGTAAACTTAATAGAAAAAAACTTGGATGTTCAAGTTTTCCTTTTTATTATACCATCAAAACCACCCATAAAAACGACAAATTATATATGCTACTTTGATGGATATCATACATTTACATTAAACAAGCCTACTTCTTGAACTTGAGAAAATCATGACCTAAGATGAGCAAAGGAAACATGAATAATAAATAGCTCCAAAGAGCATCTAAAATTCCAAATGTTCTAGACTTTTTGTTTAGAGAAAATGACAGTTTTGTCCTTGGTGACTCCATCAAGAGCCATCATCATCACGGTAATGCTGCTCTATTCAAGCAGTGGTTTTCAACTTGGGTGCACAGTAGAGTCACCAGCTAGCTTTTAGGAACTGTGAGTGCCTAGTCCATATCTGGGATGAATCCAAACAGAATGTCTTGAGAGTGTGGGACTAGTATGTGGCTACAAATGCTGTAGCTAATAATTGCTAAGAACAATGAAAATGTTAAAGATATAAGTGTTTGCCCTCAGAAACTTTAATATTCAATGCAGTAAAATACTCCATGAAATGTTTAAACACATACCTGCGCTTGTACATCACCTTTTTCAGCTAGAAACTGGTAATACTGAATCAAATCTTCTTCTAGCATTCCACTGTTCATTCCTGGATTTTCCACCTCGTCAGGCAGCCGTATTCTCTGTACTACTGAGCCTCCTGTCAGTGAGATATCACTAGCAACTGAAACAGGGAAACAAGGCAATAATGTGGATAAGTCAAAAGAATTGTCCCACAGAGAGAAGTACAATTCCAGCTGCCAAATGTTGACAGACACTATGTTACAGAAAACTGTTCCTATAGTGGTCTAGAGTACATAATAGTAATCTAAAGTAAATTCAGTTTTTTTCCAAAAAATATTTAAGAAGTGGAACTCAAAGCAAAAAATTTTTAAATACTTCTTAATCAACTAGAATAAAGATGATTCCACTTGAGAGAGCCATTCATGATATTTCAAGTAGTACAATAAAAACAGATGTATTTAAAATTGTTTGTTTTGTTTGTTTCATTGTTTATTTCATAAGGTGAAAGGCAGAAAAAGAGATACCATGATTGGCAACAAGACGATAATGAGTCAGTGCGGATTCACAACTCTGGAGGACTCCGATGCCAGCCCAGTAACGGTAACCCTGTAATACAACTTTGAGTGAGAAGACGGCAGTGTCACATGCTTCAGTGGCATTCTTGTTGGAACGAACACAGCTAACCATACTCGGAATGTAATTTTGCTGTCTGTTGACCCAAGTACACTACCACCTCATTTATCCTGAGTTTTAGGTTATGAGGTAATTTATTCAGCAACTTCGACAATCAGAAAATAGCTAAGAACTAGGAAATAAATAATTAAGTTCCTACAGCAATCAAAATAGATGCCATAAACCTCATGTATGCAGTGTGTGCAGTTCGCCTATAAGAGAAAATTACTTAGGCTCTTGCTTAGAACAGATATTCTTATTTTAGACACAACTTTATCAAAAATAGGGTAATCTTCCAAATTAGCAAAGAAGCAGTAACAAATGAGCAAAATAGGGAAGACAAGAGACTACTAGAGGCAGACCAGCAATAAATGACTTCAGAATAGGGGGGAAGATAGCTTATTATAAAAAGCATAGAATGGAAATTAGAGCTCTCTGGAGTCCTTTAGCACAGACTCAAATAACTTTATAAACTTTAACAATCCTTAGGGTATTACTGCATAACAACAGGACAAAAGTCCAAGCTCTTTGGCATGACATACGGCTGTTTATGGGACTCCTGTCTACCTACCCTGCTGATGAACTACCTGGCATTCTACTCTCCAGCCACACTAAAGTGCTCGTATTTCCCTCTTGCTGCTGTCCCTTTGCATATATTGCTCTTGCTGCCTGGACACCCTCTTCTGCTTCTTCTATTCATTCACTACAATTTATCCTTCGAGAACCATTTTAGCTTTTTCTCTCCTCAGGAGTACCTACTTCAATCCCCCACCTTCCGATGCCAGTGTGGGTTAGGCGTCTTACGAGGTGATTCCATGACATTCTCGTGCTGTACTGTGAAGTCTCCCTACTTGTATCTCCCTTTCTAGATTAAAAGCTGATTGTGGGCCAGTACTATAATTCGTCTTTGGAACCCCGATAACATGTACACAATAAATATTTTTGGAATATAAATGGGTAAAATTATCTAGGACCACCCAGTTGGCCAGAAAACTAGACTTTCCTTTTTTATTTTTAGTCTTTTATCCCATCAATGACAGCCTATAGACCCTTCTAAATTTGGACTGTTTTTTCTGCTTTCAGTCTCATTTCTGCTCGACCTAGCCTTTACATTACTGTAAGAATTAATTTACATATTTATTTGAAACAAAGAACATATGGTAGCTAGAGGTGGCATGACTTATCCAAAGTCAGTTTATACAGTAGAAGGCAGATTAAACATCTCAGCAGAAAAGAATTTAGTGGACAGAGTCTACATTTTATCACTAAGCTATTTTAGCGATCACTGTTATCAAATAACACATAAGAGATACAGTAATGAATGAACTTTATAGGATCACTGTTTCTTTGTATATTTAAGTCCTTCATCAATTTAAATGTAAAATCTATGATAACCGATCTAAAAAATAATTCTGACAATTCCCACTCACAAAAAAATTAAAAAGCCATTTATGAGATCTCTATTTTAAGGGAAATCAGCCAAATTTAACATTTTCATGAAAAATTATGAAATCTACCAATTTTCATTCACATGTAGATTAACGTGCTATATCCATTAATAAGAATTTGAAGAACATTGAACTGAATATTTGGTCTTAAAGAACATAAGTAAATCTCAGTCATGAAAATCAGAAAAGCTGTGGTCATTTGTTAACCAAAAATACTTCTGCTACTCGATGTTACTAGCCTTCCCTTAGGTCTTACTTACCAAAACCATATGGGCTATTAGGTTGCCCCCAAGAGCTCCGAAAGTGTAATAGACAAGAGCCTGTGAATAAACAAAAGATGTTTAACTGAACATAGTCACATACATATTTACCCAATTCAAACTGTAGCATATAATGAAAGTTTAATAATATTACCTTTGCCTGACTTGAATTAACACCGAGTCCAGAGGCATAGAGAAAGCCAAGAGCCTGAAATAAAATGATTAAGGTAAGAATTCTTCTGTTGGTGGAAGTTTATTCAGGACAGACATAGTTTATGAACTATGAAAAGATGCAAGAATCTCTATGCTAAATGATTTGAACTGCTGCAAGTACGTAAAACTGTGGAATTAGCCTCAGAAATGCATTCAAGGTTTTATAGAACATATAATGAAATACACTTTAATCAAATCAAAGTGTTTAACTTGAAGATTAAAGGTAATAAAATATTAACTAGAAAAACAAAGCTGAACACAAACATAACATTTACTTGATCTTGATAAATAGCTATTATGAGAACAAAACAACTCCTACATCATTACATCAATGCAAAGGGGCATACACAGTGAAAATGGATACGAGACTGCCAAGATGAACTAGCCCAGAAATACGAAGAGGCAGCAAGAGATCAAGTTAAAGTGGTTAAGGAAGAAAGGTCACTTTACAATGCTAGAGCACACGATTTTCTAAAACCACTCAACCAACCAAACAATGCATTGGTAAGGTTCTACCCTTTGTCTCCTGAGGATCTTACCTGATTACACAAAATAAGCTAAAGTTATAAAGGTAGGTGTGTCGCTCATCAAAAGCCATGAGCTCTTCTAAATTTCCCAGCCCCTTAAGTAGTTAGGTAGGGCCATGTGCCTGGGATGTGGCCAAAAGGGATATAAGCCATTTTTAGGCCACGCTTTTAAGAACATCCCTGAAAAACCCCAGCCCTCTCCACAGCTTAGAAGCCCTAAGTTCTGATGGTGTAGCAACATGACAGAAGCAGCTCCTGACCCTGAGCCACCATCTGGAAGACAGTGATGCAGGCAGGAGAGCGGCATGCAACATGGCATGACAAGAAATAACTTGTAGTAATAAGCCACTGTGATTCTGGTGCTTTGTTTCATCTGCTAGAATTACTGTGGAGTGTTTTACAATGTATAAAGCACAGTGGCATTGCAAGGTTCTATTATTAGAGGGGAAAGATGCCTTAAAAGTATTAAACCGTTCTTCAGAGCAGAACATGTCTGATGATAAAGAATATATGTGTGAATTTTACATAAACTGATTTATACAAAGAAGGGAAAAAGCTCTGAAAACAAAGGGGAGCAATTAAGATATAACCTGTTCAAAACTAAAACCAAGACTACTGTAAGAGCTGCAGGCTGGTTAGATATTCGGTCCTACAGAAAACAATGGTCACAATTCCTGTTAACGGTTAAACAGTCTGAAAACAGACTTCCTCTGACAAAAATTTTAAGAAAATCCCACACCTTTAATAAATCTGAATCAATGAAGACATTTTAAATAAATGTGATGGTTCCCTAAATTGAGGTGTAAATCTTTCCATTACTAACGGGGAATAAAACAGATATTAGGTACCAAATAGCATGATCTAATATGAAATACAGAACACTCCTACAATGCAGTCTAGCCAAAAATATTTTACTTGAGTTCATCAGCCGTTAGCTGTGACATCCCGCTCATAGGAAATTCAGGTTATGAAAAAACAAACTAAAAGACATCAAGAAGAAACAAATAGACAAACTAAGGTAAGATATTCTGCAGAAAACTTGACCCTATCTCTCACAGAGACAAAAA